CAGACGGTACAGTCATCGCTTACCTTCCAGAACACAGCTCTTCTTACGCGATCCTTTTCCTTGGAACAAGATTTGTGGCAGTGTAGAGTCTGCTCGCGATCGTTTGTTACGGCAGGGCACGCTTTATTGTGCTGAGCAAGCAGGTATGGATGGTTCCAATCGGTCCCAGTATCGTCTTTTGACCAGGAAGTCGATAAAAATCGCTGAAAAGAGTTTCTGGAGAAACTGGCGTTTTGCAAGTTTTGCAATTTTTCGAACATAGGTAAGCCATTTCATACTGCTCAGGTACATCAGTTGGTCGGCCCAATAACACCCCTGCCTAAAATATGAAATACAATAGTGTTCTATATATTATCAGTTTTATTTCGAATTAAAAAAGATCAATGTGCAGATTTCGCAGGTTACGTTGACGAAGTGACAAACTAAATTTGTTGACGGTGTTGTGGACCTGCTCAAGTTGCAGTCAGTGTCAGCAATGATTACCATAAAGTGGGGGGAGGTGGATAACATCTGCTAGCTCTTGACTGCATCCCGTTCACCCGTGCTGGTGCATTACGTACAGCCGCGACTTGTAACGCCTCTTAAAATTCCGACTGCACACCCAGAAAAATGGTTTCTTGTTTCAAGTACATTTGTACTAGAAGTGACCCAAGATTATTTTTTTTCTTGTTTCCAAGACGATTTTTGCTTTCAAGTAAGAAAATTTTCTGAAATGAAAGGTAATATCATCTCGTGTCAAGAGTAAAATTGATCTTAGGTCAAAATATTCTTGAAATAAGAAAACATTTTTCTGGGTGCACAATGTCTCTCTCTCTCTCTCTCTCTCTCCCTCTCCCTCACTCTCCATCTCTTTCTCTCTTCCGGAAGGTTGGCCGGTTGGATTACAACGGCCCACTCGTCTTCATCGTGAGGCCGTTCAGTTAGGCATAAAAGCGACTCGAAGGAGGGGGCTGTTAAGTTGGTGATGCCGTCGACTCTTTCCGAGGGCTGCTGCCGCCTCCCGCTACCACTTGTAGTTCAGCGGCGTAAAGGAACACTAGTAGCAGCGACGACGGGCGCTACTGGTAGTAGCTAGTGGTCCGGTCGGAATTATTGGAGAAGGATGAAATGCCACAATGCCACAGTGACTGTGCTCAAATAACGACGCAGTTTCTCACGGGCTTTTCCGTGTTTTTTTGCCATGACCGATGCTTCTAAGTGTGAGATTCAAATAACACCCCATCAGGATTTATTTTTTTTGGCGGGGAGGGGAGTTATTCGGATATCACGACCTCTCAAACCAAAGCAAACACCTACCAGTTTGCAACCCCCAATTTCAGCTGTGAAAAAGGACACCGTGGCAGTTGTATGGCGTGTGCCTGTAGATGCGTAACACTGCAGCGATGCGGATTTGCGCCGTCGGTCGTGGTTGTGGCCGTTGTGGCAATTCTCTCTCTCACTCTGTGTGTGTGTGATTCGCACGACGTATGCTGTGCCGGGGGGAGTGGAAAGCGCCGAATATTTTTTTTTTTTGCAGTGTGGTTATTATATTTGCAAAATATATTTGCAAGGAAGCTTATGGCCGGAGGGGAGGCTGGAGGAGGCCCTGCTCACTTCAGCTGACCTTCGAGCGCTGACTTTTGCAGCAAAAGTCAGCGAAAAGTTTAGCTTTATATTGGCCCCTCTTTCCCCTTGTGCGATATGATAGCCGATTCACACTGCCAACCTTGGGGAATGGGTCCGCCTTCGTGGATCTTCTCTCTCTCTCTCCCAGAGAGGGGGTCTCCCCCGTCATGTTCAGCTATTGCCCACTAAAACGTGCGGCCGTGGTACCGGCTATCAGCGAATCGAGACTTCTTCATCTGCTGGTGGCGAACACAAAAAGAGACCGAGCGTCATACTTTGGCAACAAAAGCTGCGAAAAGTAGCAACTCCCCTCAAGTATTTCGCAAAAGTTTAGTCCGAACGCGAAAGGTACGCGAGGGGGGCCTTTGAGCGACTTGCGTCCGCCCACCCACAGCCCGCCCTAATGTAGAGCACCGTGATGCATATGCCTCCGGTTGCCTGTGCCTCTTAGGGTTGGAGGCCCTGGAAATTTTCCAAAAATTTTCAGGACAGAAATGGGAATTTTCCCATACTTTGAAAATTGTTTGTTATTTTCCGGAAACTTTCAGGAATTTTTCGGAAATTTTCAACCACAGTGCGTGTGATCCCCAATTTCCACCAAAACAAAATCCTGCTGAAAAAACGCTGCTTGACGTTTACTTCAAGACAACCAATCAACCAGATTCGTCGGGTATAACTTCTTAACGCGAGAGTAGTTGTTTCTCGTAAAAGTAGTAAAAGACATGGGGCAGTGTGCGTATACGCGTCCTTGGCCTCCAAACGCGGCGGGTTTTAGCTACACGCATCGGACGTATGGCACTGCGTACGGCGCATCCTCTGACCTTTCCTCTCTGCAGGTCGGCCTCACCCCCCGCCCCAACCCGCCCCGCCCCGCCCTTAACACTTTGCCTACTGCTGCTGGAGCGCGACGCGATCGAGATACAGTCACGCAAAAAGGCATAGG